AGAGAGAGAGAGAGAGTGAGTACGATGAGTGTATTTTTTTGAGCGATTATGTGTGATTATGTTCTTTATTTATTCTACGTATTTAACGTAATTCTTCACATGGGACAACGGACCCAGCATACTCGGACTTATGGGTGATTCTATAAAATCGTTAAAGTAGAAAATAAAATGAGGAATGTGTTTTAGTTGAAACGATATATCTCTTTCATGTTATATATGTACATACATATATACATTTGTATATAAATATGGAGAAAGGAAAAAAGAAGAAGAAAAAGAAGAAGAAAAAAAATGTATTATATTTTTAACTGTACGTAAATATGAATATATATATATATATATATATATATGTAAATGTGTGTGTGTGTGTGTGTGGATATGCCCTCCTTCGAAATTCTAGGATAATAACTTTTTACGATCCTAGCTAGCTAGCAAGCTAGCTAGTAGTAGTAGTAGTATTAGTAGTAATAGTAATAGTGTAGTAGTAGTAGTAGTAGTCGAATAAAGTACAGCGCGGCGATATTTAACTTTAGACGATTCGTTCCTTATATAAAATTATCAGTTCCCAAAAGTAGGTCGAACAGGAAAGTCAACCTCGGTGTGTCTCACAGATAGGCACGAGCGCACACCACGATAATATTGTGGTGGTGCTATCGATGGTGGTAGTAGTAGTGGTGGTGGTTGGTGGTGGTGCTGGTGGTTGGTAGTAGACGATGCAAGATTTAAAAAAAAAAAAGAAAAAAGAAAATAATAATGATAATAATAATAATAATAATAATAAAGTAGAGTAAGAAAGAAGAGAAGAAGAAGAAGAAGAAGAAGAAAAAAAAATAAGCCGGAGAGTAAAAATGAAAAAGTAGTAAAAGGAAATTAAATAAATAATTATACCGGGTAGTTAAAATAAATAATAATTGTTAGGTCATTTGTGAAGTATTTACGTTGTATGCGTTTGTTTCATCCTAGCCTGAGCAAATTGTCGCATATCGATTTGTTCATTTACGTGTATGTTTATTATCCGTACATGTATTTAAATACAAAACGCGTTCTCTGCGTGTACTACGAAACGATGACGGTCACGAGTATATACGTAAAGATTTGGAAAAATCTATGAACGAGAAATAATGATGACTATTCAAAATATAAACCTCCTTCTTGAATTTAATTTTATTTCTTTTTTTTCCTCTTCTTCTTCTTCTTCTTCTTCTTCTTATTTTTCTTTTTTTAATTTATATGAGTTCCCAGGAAACTTCAATTTCAATAATGTAATATCTTGCCTCGCGCGTAAATTTAATAATATTACGATTGTTGAGGGAATATTGGTTTATTAAAAGGTGAAAAAATAGAAAGAAAGAAGGGGAAAAAGGAAAAAAAGGAACTAAAAGAGAGATATAAGTGAAAAGTGTTGAAAGCTCAATTCGAAACATTTTGGAGGAAATAATAAAATCCTGCCAATGGACGTGAAGTATTTCGATAAAATAAGAGATAGAAAGATTGAAAGAGAGAGAGAGAGAGAGAGAGAGAGAGAGAGAAAGAGACAGAAAGGGAGAGAGAGAGAGAGAGAGAGAGAGAGAGAGGAGTAAGAAAGAAAAATTGCTATCCCGGGTAAGAGGATGTACGGTGTATTTTCAATCATTTTCACGAAGGAAACGAATTTAGTCGGTCTTCTTTTTTCCTCTCTCTCTCTCTCTCTCTCTCTCTCCCTTTCTCGTTTTTTTTTCTTCCCTTTTTTTCTTTTTTTTGATCCCCCTTTCTTCTTACGTTCCGTACGCGATCGCGTCGTTTCAACTCTTTCGTGAACCTATGGATTTATACTTCACGTAGATAGGTTAGGTACCACCCTTTTGCTTCATTGTGCGTTCTTCGGTACGTTTTTGTGCACATCATCTCCGATCCCCTCTCGTCTCTTTCTCTCTCTCTCTCTTTCTTTCTTTCTTTATTTTCCTTTCTTTCTTTTTCTTCCTTTCTTTTCCTTTCTCTATCTTTCCTTCTTCCTTTCTTTCTTTCTCTTTCTCTTTCTTTCTCTTTCTCTTTCCCTTTCTCTTTCCCTTTCTCTCTTTTTCTCTGGTCTACCCTCACAACCCCCTGGTCCACCCTATGCCCGAGCGCTCGCTTTTTCCTATTTTTTAACATTTTCTTTTCTTCAATGCCTTAAAATGCAAAAATAAACGAGACCTTGCCCGGGCTGCTATGGAATTGACTCGGCGCTCTAAACTCGACATTCTTTTACAATTTTTTTAACTGACGAAAAAAAAAAATTTCTCTCTGAATAGATTAATTGTTTGTCGATTATTAAAAACAGAGATAAATTTTAATTCTATACGTTGGATATAAATTTCGGTAAGGTTTAGATCGGCCCGGTGCGTGGACAATACGGAAACAGCCAAAGCTTCGAGCCATCGTCTCTGCCCGTTCGTCTCTATCTCTATCTCCCTCTCGCTCTACATATGTATATATACCTATACATATACATACATACATACATACATACATATATATATATATATTTATACCTACACCTATCTAAATACATATATACGTATCTATATATTTAGATATTTCATCTAAGTATATATAGATAATATATATAATATGTATCAAATATATATAATCAAGAGAAATCTATATAGAAATATAATATATACATATATACATATATTTA